CAGACAGATATAGATGATAAATAGCATGATTGATAGATAGATAGATAGATAGATAGATAGATAGATAGATAGATAGATAGATAGATAGATAGATGTTATTGCTAGATGATAGATTGAGTTACGATGGACTTATTTCTTATTTATTTATCTAAGTTTGAAATTCCCCATGATTTACAAGCCACCATTGTTGGCTTTGCAGCCTGAACCCAGTTCTAGTTTCCTTGTTTTAACCATAGTTAATTAAAAAAACAAAAACCATAGCTCAGAGAGCTAGAAGACCCTGGTTCAGGTACATGTAAAAATGGTGGAAAGAGCTAAAAATCATCACGGCTTAGAGAGATGTCAAGAGAATCCTGACCCTTTTATCGATTTAAGGACAATTTGAGCTTTCTTGACGGCCTATCTCTCCCCTTCAGACCCTGTCAAGGTCTCCTCACAAGGGGCTTATTTGAAATAATCCCAGTCAAGGTTTCTGTCTCGTGTCTCTGAGGGCAGAAAATAAAAATGGTTGAGGCAGGAGACCAGCTTTGTTTCCCCTTCTGAGAGGAAAGTGATGGCCAAATATGGCTTTTTCAGGTCCGATGCCTCAGTGTGCATATTTTCCAATGAGACAAACCGAGACAGGAAGATCATTTTTATTACAATTTATCAGAATATTGAGATAAAAGGGATTCCTCACTCAAAAAGGGAACCCCGATCTTTAGCTTACATCCCCTTTTATAGTTAACATAACACAGAAATCTGAAGGAGGAAAGTTGATTGGGCAGAATAATAGCATACATGTTTATTAAAATGAGGTCCGAAGGGGAATAAATTGTAAGGAGAAAGGCTGTTTAAGGTTCACAAGAGATAAGCCGGACCCCAATTCGTACTAACAAACTTTTCTTATCAGGAACTAGTCTCCAGCTGGTTTATCATTTTAGGAATGTTAAAAAAGCTAATAATTCTTGAACCTCACTTTAAAAGGAAGAATATAAACCAGATTAAAATACAAACTAACTATGTTAGTTAACGAATAACAAAAGCCATGTTATTTGCCCCTCAAAAATGTCTACATATGAAGTGATGAAGGAGGAAGACGAAGGAGCCAAGATGGACGCCGGGGGGAAAAATGGCGGGAAAATGGTGCCGCTGAGGGGGGAAAGATGCGCAAATAGTTTTTCACTCTTTTTCTTTATCTTTCCCAGTCGGGTGCGCCACCCAGAGTCCAGAGGAGTTGGGCGGCCAATAAATTTAAATAAATAGTTGTTATTGATGATGATGATGACGATAGGGGCCTCAAGGCAGGATTAATTTGGTGGGATTGGTGTGGGATTGGTGTGGTGAGGAAGGAGAAGAAAGAAAAAAGAAAAAAGAGAGAGAGAAAAGAGAGAGAGAAAGAGAACACTATTTGTGTGTGTGTGTGTGAGTGAGAGAGAGAGAGAAATAGAAATGTTGAAAGAAATGTCCTTCTGGGTTCGGCTCCAAGTGGGGAGACATGGAGGCTGCTTGGAAAGATGGTTTTAATGGT